GATGGATGGATGGATGGATGGATGAATGGATGGATGGATGGATGAATAAATGAGTGATTGAATGAATGAATGAATGAATGAATGAATGAATGAATGAATGAATGAATGAATGAATGAATGAATGAATGAATGAATGAATGAATGAATGAATGAATGAATGAATGAATGAATGAATGAATGAATGAATGAATGAATGAATGAATGAATGAATGAATGAATGAATGAATGAATGAATGAATGAATGAATGAATGGGAATGTCATGATGATATCATCCAAAGGAATGAATGAACGAAGAAATAATATTTATAATTATAATTTTGTTATGAATAAATCAGTCAATCAATCGATCGATCAACCAATCAATCAATTAATCATTCATTCATTCAATCAATCAATATAAAAAATTTCAGCCAATCTCATTTATCCAATCACATTGGCATCTGTGATTAGTTTCCAGTTACCTGATTGGTGGATGAATTTTGAGCAATGCGATGTAGGAAGCAGACGAGGGAGTGGAGTATGGACCTGTGGACATCTGGAAGCAGGAGGATGAGGTGATGCAAACATTCGTCACGGTGCTCCAGCTGAATGTCTGTTCGTTGTCATCGTTAATATGTTTGTTTGTTTGTCTGTTTGTTTGCCTGTTTGTTTGCCTTTTTGTTTGTTTGTTTGTCTGTTTGTTAGCATTAATATGTCTGCTTGTTTCAATGTGCATTCACGATGCAAATGTAAAAAGGTTTCATTCAAAGTCTATTCGCCTTTGATGAAATGTTATTCCGTAATAAAACTCTTAGCTTGCGACCCTAATTCAAACTGTTTGAGACGGCTTGTAGAAGCTGCAAAAAATTCCGATCTAAAGAAATTTCTCTGAGTATTTTTAATCACAATAAAAACTGAATGACAATTTAAATACTATGAGAACTAATGCCGAACTAACGATTGGCAACGAGGGCAAAGAGGTTGACGATAGCGGGGGGTAGGAGGCTGCATGGCATGTCCCTTACGTACCTCTTCAAGACATCTGCCACGTCATACGGATCGATCTCGCAGGTCGCTGGCGAGAATGATGGCGAGGTTGAAGAGGAGGAAGATGACGAGGTGGATGGGGGGCTTGTGTTGGCCGGTGCCCATAAGGGATGCATTAATAGCAGTGCTTCTAAATTTTCGTCTGTTTGTAAAGTTTGTTGACGTAAGAAATGGATGTTGAAGAATTCGGAAATCATTACTGAAATGAAATTGTTACGGTCTGCGTCATGTGATCATTGTCGTCATCATAATGAATCATGCATGTAGAGAATCATAATATTCGTTTGAAGTTTTCTGGAGTCGAAAGACAACAACACTTTGTTCCTATGTTATTAGAAGATTAAAATTCTGAAACAGCTTGAAAGCTGACCTTGGTGCTCATCAACGAGTTTCTGCAACCAATCAATCCTAGATCTCATGCCCGGCTTCCGGAACATTCCAACTGCATCACGTGATTCTCTTTCTAGAAAATTCATCAAGCTCATCATTATCATGGGCAGGAAGTTTCCACTGTTTCTCAAATAAACCGACGGATGGAGACCGAAAAGTTTGGTGGGGTCTTTATCTTTGCTGTTTTTGTGGTGGTGGTGAGAAGTTGCTGGGTGTGCTTGCTGGTGTTTGCTGGTTTTCGAGGGAGGTGTGGTCGCCAGAAATTGGAGAGCCAAACTATTTGTTTGTTTTTTAATCAAAAATGCTGAAATGAAATATATATCCAACATAGAAAAAAGATGAATACAAACAAACATGAACTTGTTGTTGAACATCTACAACAACGACAACGAACCTGAGTTGTGAGTTGTTGAACGAATCAAGTTTATCAAAGTGATGTGTCAGCTTCAAGATTGCCAACTTTTTATTGATGAGGTAATGAGCAATTGATAAGTGTTTGATGCTGTTGCATCCTTTCTTGGTTTTGGCATGAGGAACTTGATTGGTTGTAATGTTAGCTGGGGTTTCGTTTGAAATTATTTCGTCGCTCGAGTTCGCAATAATTTTAGAAGCCATGTTGTTGGATGTTGCGTGGTGTTGTTGAGTTGTTATTTCGTCGTTGTTGTTGGGTGTTGTGAGGTGTTGTTGTGTTGTTGTTTTGTCGTTGTTGTTGAATGTTGTGAGGTGTTGTTGCGTTGTTGTTTTGTCGTTGTTGTTGAATGTTGTGAGGTGTTGTTGTGTTGTTGTTTTGTCGTTGGTTGTTGTTGGATTTGTTCTGCTTGCGCAGTTTGCGAGGTCAACATCGCCATGGAAAGGAACGTTTCGCAAGAGAGTTTTTCTATTAATTTTTCCTGGTTGCGTGCATCAAATGTTTGTTTTTCATCTACCAAATCAGAAACAATTCAGTTTCACTTCGATGATGTTTAAATCAATTTTTCTCCAACTTACTTAGATTGAAACTACAAAAAAAAAAATTTTTTTTTACTAACTTTGTGAGTTATCATTTTGAAAGTTTCTCATTTTCACTTCCATTCCGTTCTCATCATCTCCCCAGCCTATGTTATTCACCGCCTCATCATCATCCTTATCAGCAGCAGTAGTAGAAGTAGTAGCAGCAGTAACTACAGCAGAGCTGGCAGCCACAGCATAATTGCAGTCACCAATATTTCTATAGAAATCTTGGAGTATACAATCCAACTGCATAGTCACTTTGTTTTTTTGGTCTGCAGACTTGTCTATGCACTCCAAGCAACTACTGCCCCCCTTGTCTACCCTACTGTAGTGGTCACAGTCAAAACTGCGGTTCTCATTATTGTCTGAGTATTTTTGTTCAATTTTTGCAATCTTATCTTGTTGATAAGAGTCGGTGCAATCATGAATAGTGTTGTTGTAACTTTCGTTGTCAAAAATGTAATCGTAAATAGTTTTGTTATAGTCATTGTTAATGTAGTTGTTAACGTTGTTGTTGTTGTTGATGTTGTTAATGTTGTAGTTGTTAATGTTGTAGTTGTTAATGTTGTTGTTGTCATTTTTGTTGTTGCAATGAGGACTAGAATGATTGAAGGTTGAGACATGGTGTCGAGACGAGACTTCATAGTTTGGTATGAAGATGGTTCGCCTGTTGTTCACATGTGTTTTCAATATAACTACTTCAGTTGTTATGTTACGCTGGGTGCTGTTGCTTATTTCATCATAATCGCTGTTGTTGTAGTTGTTGGTGTTGCTTATAATACTATTATTATTATTATTATTGTTGTTGTTGTTGTTGTTGTTGTTGCTGTTGTTTATGATGTTATTATCAGTTAAGAAATAATTGAAATGATTGTATTTGTTATTATTGTTTACGCTGTGGTTGGTTGTCTGTTGTTTGCCGTGCTGGTCTCTTTGTTCAAGACTACCGCTACTATTATGTTTGTCATTTTCATTGATGTTGTTGTTGTTATTGTTGTTGTCCGTGTAGTTGCATCGACTGCATTTGTCAACGTCATCAGAGCAGGAGATGGAGATGCGTGGAGGTGATGATGAACCAACTGTCCTGGATACCATGGGAGAGGATGATGAAGATGACGATGACGAGTTCTTCTGTACCAATGATAAAGATGATGACGAGGAGGAAAATGAAGATGATGCTGATGAAGAAAACGACGATGATAATGATTGCGATGTTGAAGATATTTTAGTCAGTGAGATTGGCGACGATTCGCTTTCATAACCGCTTGTCAGTACGGTGCTCTGGTCCAACAAACATGTGTTTTTTGAGTTGTTGTTGTTGATGTTGTTGTTGTGGCTGCTGTTGCTGTTGTTGTTTGAGTCAACGAACACAATGTTGTCGTACACAGCAAATGCATCATCATTATGTTTGTTACAACTGCGTTTTATATCGTGAAAATTTATATTAAGAATATCCTTCATGTTTATACAATTGTTGTGCTGGTTGTTGAAAGAGTGATGCGATAGATGATTGTTATAATTAAAGTCGTTGTTTGAGTTGATGTTATTGTTGATGTTGTTGTTGATGATGATGTTGTTGTTATTGTTGATGATGTTGTTGTTGTAATGATTGTTTCTCGCAGTGGCCTGATTAAGAATATCCTGCTGTTGAGATGTTTGGTGGCTGTTCGTGCTAAGCATTTGTTCCTTGCTATTTAGGACGGAGACATTTTGAGCGTTTGAAAAGTTTTGCTTGGTAGGCGGGGCTAGAGAGAGAGAGGAGGAAGATGTGGATAGCTGAGTTGACGATGATGGGCCATTTAATGGCGATGACGTCACAGGGATTGATGACGTATGTGGCAACAGTTGAATGGGGACTGTTGAAAACTGGCTGGAACTAAGCAACGATGACTCCGAAGATGAATTTCTTGAATATTTCGTGAAACACGTTGAAGAATTTTTCGTTGAGTTTGATGACGACGATGTTGAGCACGTGTTGCTGAGCTGTTTTGCTGCCGATGTCGATGATGACGCTGGTTTTGAAGTTACTGCTGCTGAGGTTGTGGTCACTGTGGACAGAAGTTCGGTCGGTTGTCGTCGGCGCTTCCAGGTTTTCTTCACAGCGTTGAAGATCCAGTGGGGACTCAGGCACTCATGGAAATCTTGGCAGGAAGTCATTTGGTCCTTTTAAATTATTTTTGAAGGTTTGTGTGATTAGGGAGATGTGTAAGGCTTTTGTGTATCGTGTGTTTGTTTGTTTGCATGTGATGTTCACATGTTTGTGTATGTATCGGTTTGTTGTACGTGTAGATCAACTGCATTGGGATGTGAACATATGAATGAAAAAACATTTTTATAAATTTTAATTTGGTGTATCGAAGTTAGAGTTATAGATAAACGTTAATGATTTTTTTTACCAATCAAACAATCACCAGATATAAAAAAGCAGTAGTGGGTGTATGTGATGTACCGATTTGCTGAAACGTGTGAAGACATTTGGTCTACATTTCGTTAAATGACCCTTATGAAGCGTGTACAATGTTGTACATGTATAATGCACGTTTAAATATCGTTTGTAGAGATATACGTGTGTGTGTATACAAGTTAACTTGCAGTACGTGTTTATTTTATACAAGTACCTGCTACTTGTCTATTCGGTAGTTAATTTAGCGGTCTTCATCCAAATTGATGAACTTTACAGAATTAATTGTTAACATTTAATAGATTTACCCAAATAAATTAACACAAAATGGAGCAAGAAAAACTTGAAGAGATGGACTTACGTATGTGTGACTCTGAAGGCAGGTCTTCTTATTCTTCAGGTAGTTTAGTAGGATGATGCGTCTGACGTAATTTGTAATATAGTGTAATGTGTAAGTTGATGTAATATGTGTAACGAAATGTAATGTATGTGTAATGTAATGTGTTTTGTAATGCGTAAGTTGTTGTAATGTGTTATGTATGTGTAAATTAATGTGTCTTGTAATGTAATGTGTAATATAATGTTTTATAGAGTGTTATAATGAATAAAACGTGAAGATTGCAAATGTAAAATAGAGATAATGCAATTAACTATGACTAAAATTAGATCAAATGTGTTATGTAATGTAATGTGTAAGTTGATGTAATTTGTCACAAATAGATCAAATGAATGCATGAATCCTAATGAATCCAAATGAATCCTTAAGAATATTACCTTGAATTATTCAAAGTCTTAATTAATTTATCCAATCGAACATTAAAACGCCAAAAGGGCAGCACATGAAGTTTCACATGGTAAACAAACTTGCATTAATGTTGAACGTGATGATACAGTAATGATGACGAATATGAAGCCGGTTAAGAATGAACATACTCTCAATGTTAGTTTAATGTTTTATGTAATGTAATGTAATGTAATGTGTAAGTTGATGTAATGTGTAATGTAAATGTTGTATTATCAACTTGTTATCATATTATCACCGGCAGATGTCATTGCCATCGTTACGGTCATTCATTTTTATTGACTGTTTCTTGCTTGAACTATTTACATTTTATGAGTCTCAAAGACTCCTCACAGCCATCCCGAGCCCTTGATTTTTTCATCAAATTTTGTGGCCAAATAAAATATTGTTATTGTTATTATAAGTGTGATTGCGAAAGATTATCTTACAAACAACATCAATAGAACAGTTAAAGTTAAGTTTCTATACTTTATATATAGAGAGCAGGGGTTAACAGAAAGACGTCATCCGTGATAGACTTATTCAAAAACAAGTTAGCAGTAGCATACGCAACAACAACGCAACATATTCAACGTTGAGTCGTTCGAACCTCAACGGACGGACGAGGACCGGTTCATTGAGGTTTATTGTAAACAGACATCGCGCTTCGATGTCTGCTTAACTATCTGTATATTTTCAAATGCTGTTCGTCTCTAAGTGAACGAATTTTAAAATCGTACACACGCACACACACGCATACATAAAATTGTATACCTACATATACATGTATATATATATATATATATATATATATATATATATATATACAGTATATATATACAGAAACAAATTTTCAAGTGTGTGTGTGTGCGTGTGTGTGCGTGCCTGGTTTAGTAAACAAACTTATACACAAATGCAAACCCGTACACCATACAGACCGTATTAAGTATTGCATGGTGATTTCTTATATGCTTACATTTAAACACATACACACGCGCACACACACACACACGTACACACACACCCATGTTTACATAGACAGAAAATTAATAAACGTGAAGGTTGTTTGCCATTTAATGAATGTGTTATCTAGGGTGTTTCGTTAATTAATCTGGATGATGGATGTCCGTATTATTTGACACATCGGTGCTCGCTTAGGTTCATGTTCATTGTTTGTTCGTTTGTTCGTTTGTTCGTTCGTTCGTTTGTTAGCTGTTTGTTGGGTGTTTTTTCTTGCTAGTGTTGTTGTTGATGATGTTTTGCTGTTGTTGCTGTTGTTTGCGTGTTGATGTTGTTGTTGTTTGTGGTGTTGTTGTAATTGTTTGTGGTGTTGTTTTTATGATGATGTAATTGTTTGTGTATTGATTATACATTTGTGTGTTGTTGTTGTTGTTGTTCGTATTGCTGCTGCTAGTCTGTGTTGGTGTTTATCATCATCACCGTCATCATCACCACCGTCATCATAATCATCACCTTCATCATCATAACTTACTCAATATCATTATATACACCATCATTACAGTGCCATAAATTATTATGCAATAAAATATCTTTATGGTTTTTTAATATGTATAAATAAGTTTTATTTTTACCTATTTTTATTTTTATTACAAATCTGTTGGAATTAATTTCAACAGTGAACTGATGTGTTGGGTGATGTTGCAAAAAGTTTCTTGTTAGCATTATAAATCAAGGTGGTAGGTCATTTTCCACTAACTCTACAGACCACGGGCGGCCTGCGAAGCTATTTTATGCGGCCCGACCCAAAAAAGGAACCAAAAACCTTGAAAAATTCTCCTCATGTCGAAAAAATTTGCTTTTTAGGTACATATGGCCCTCACAACAAAAAGTTTGCCAACCCCTGAGTTACGGCATTGAAAAGTTTAACGATGAAAAAAATGTTTTGGAAAGTTTTTTTTGTTGTAGATGTTAACTTTTAGCAGAGAAATTAAATTAAATTGATCTGCACCTGAGTTACTTTAAAAATACGTGCACCGGCTTACTCATTGATTTGATTACGTTCGAAAATAAAAAGTTGATTAAGTCAACAGTGCAACCCAGCAAAATCTGATGAAACTGCTTCATAGAGGTTTCAATTTTGTAACAAATAATTCGTCAACATCAATTAAATTACCATCGAATTTAATTTAATTTAATTATTTAATTTAATTATTTAATTTAATACTAATTTAACTTGTTTTATATATGAGGATATAAAAGTTGAATAAGATTGAAGCCTCTAAATGTCGTTTCGTGTCGTTTCGTTTCGAGGTCAGAAGATGGTAAGGTCAGCGAAGGTAAGGTCAGCGAAGGTAAGGTCAGCGAAGGTAAGGTCAGCGAAGGTAAGGTCAGCGAAGGTAAGGTCAGCGATGGTCAGTTGTTTTCAATTGAGGAAAAATTAGTAACTCCACTATTTATCTCATTTCATTCATGCTTTTATAAAGTGACCTCAAACATTAACGTGTAGTTATTCAAATTTTCGTTCATTTTAGTCGAGTTGTCAGTTCGTAGTTTTTTCATTTTAAAGTTTACATGTGACATTTCAAATTAATATCACATCTAATATTTACCTTTTTATAATAAATATTTATTTATTTGTTTATTTATCTATTTATTTTGTAAATTTTTTTTGAATATTTGTGCAATAATTTTCTAGAATTGTCCGCCAATGAAATATTATTGTTCAATAAGTCTTCCTGATTTAAGTTCATAGCAAAATATTTTAATGCCTATTAAAATTAAAAGTACACATTAAGCATACCTCGTAAGTTGAATGAAATGCTAAAACTAAATGGCAAACAATTTTTTTGCATATTAAGGTGATCGCACATTTGAATAAAAATCAATAATTTTGGTAACAGTATGTGTGTATGTTTGTGTGCGTGCGTGCGTGAGTGTGCGTGCGTGCGTGTGTGTGTGTGTAAGGTTGAAAGTGAGTGATAAATTATTCTGTTTGTAAGATTTTGTAACGAATCGATGAATCGATTATTAAAAATGCATTCTAACTTTTTGAGGACGTCAAGTAGATCATAACTGAGGAAGGAGTGGTCGTGCGATACTTCTGATATTGATATCATGCTGTGCCTCTCTGTTTGGTTGGTTGTCGGTTGGTTGGTTGGTTGGTTGATTTGTTGTTGGTTGGTTGTTTGTTAGTTGGTTGGTAAGTTGGTTGATTGGTTGTTGGTTTGTTGTTTGTTAGTTGATAGGTTGGTTGGTTGATTTGTTGTTGGTTTGCTGGTTGTTTGTTAGTTGGTTGGTAAGTTGGTCGGTTGGTTGGTTGGTCGGTAAGTTGGTTTGATAGTAGGTTGGCTGGTTGGTTGATTTGTTGTTTGTTAGTTGATTTGGTTGGTTGTTTGGTTGGTTGGTATTGACTTGTTGGTAGGCTGGTTGATAGATTGGTTGTTGATTGATTGGTTAGTTAGTTGGTTGAAAAATATAATTCAAAAAGTTTTATATGTAAAATTCCAAGGGGCATAAAAAGGTTCATTATATAGAGATTTTTTCATCGTGTAGAAGTTCGCTATAAGGAAGTTAAACTGTATTTGCATGTTTATATGCGGATTTCTACGTTCGTTTGTTTGTGCAGCTGAAGAGTTAATTAGTTTTGCAAACTCCTTACAACGGGTTTTAAAAGTTGGGTTGTGGGAATTCATGTCCCTACGTATTGAAAGCGAAGCAGTTCTGTTTGTGTTGTATTGGGTGTGAATGCCTCAATTAAGAATGTTTTTCGTGTTTGTGTGCAGTTGTATGTGTGTGTTGCTATCAGTTATGCGCGTGTTCATAGTTGGTTTTGTATGTTTGGCTGGATGATTGTTGTGTTGTATTATATTTATTATTTTTGAATATTTGCTTATAAACTCAGTCTCTCTGCTGGTATAAATGTCTGAATCTATGTATGTTTGGCTTGTTTGCTTTGCAGGCATGTTTCCTTGTACGTATGTATGTAGGCAGGTTTGTATGCAGGGTTGAATGAAT